AACTCGAAAGGGGAAAATGGAACTGATCTCCTCCAACTGCCTATATATAGCTTCCGGAGATCCAAACGCCATCAACTCACAGACTATTAGCCAACTTGTGATCCCAAACGAATAAAAATGGTATATTGATTAATATAAATAAATGGTATAGCTCGCGGGAAGCAAACAATGTGAAATGGTTAACGGATAATTGCATATACAATTGAACTTCATATACAACTGAATTTGCAACTGCATTGATGTGGATGCTCTTACGAATCTTAACATTAGGACTTATATAGCATCACACTAATATAACATCTAAAATTGACTTAACCAACCTTCTTTACATAACCTATGTTCTACCAACAATTTCATGACATGTAACAAGAGTTCGGGGTTTAGGGTTAGAGGTCATGGTTTAAGCTTAGGAGGATTAAAACGTATGTTCTTCACAATAACCAAATATAAATTTGACTTAACCAACATTCTTCACATAACATACGTTCTACCAACAAATTCATCACATAAACCTAAAAACTTAAAAACATATGACTTTCCGTTAAAGTTGGCTAGCACACTAACTCTTCCGTTAGTATTTCTTTGGTGTTTGACTTTCAATTTTCATATTTTTATGATTTAATTCGATTTAAACAATTAATTTAGTTATTGGGTAGACATACAAATTTCTAATATTTTGAAAACTTTAGGATGTACATCGTAAATATATCATATTAAAATGACATTCCGACCAATGGATCAGACAACAAGTTGAGGGAAAATTTGTCAATCCAAAATTTAAAAATTACTTTTGAAAGCCCCCGTAAAGATTAAAATCTAGGTATTAATTCTATAAATTTCATATACTAAGATCAATTTAATTTGAAATTAAAATCAATGGTCATGATTTGTTGAAATATATGCAAAAAATTACATGCACAATCTTAGGGGTTAGGCTTTATGATTCTGATAACTAACACCTAGGGTTCACCCATTGAGGATTAGGGTATAGTACCATGCCCAAAAAATTTATTAATTTAAGGTCTAGATAGCAATTATATATATATAGTGGATGCGGGAGAGTATAACAGGGTGGGTTCTGGGACCCACCCTGACTCGGAAGGAATATTGTTCAATTAGGTACAATAGTTAATTTATATAGAAAATAGGGCGTATTTAATTTAGAATAGTTGATCGAAAGATTTTGTGTTCGAATCTTGGCGACCTCATTTGTTAAGTACACGGTATACAGATTTGTGCAAACTTCATTTTTCTATAAGTTGACTTTCTGATATGAGGGAGCGTGCTAGTAAATAGTATAAGATATATTATTGAATGATTCGCAAAGTTAACAAAAATTATTTTATCAGGTGTATTTTTCTTCTAAGTGGACCCACCTAGATGAAATCCTGGCTATATATATATATATATAGTTCTATCGTACACCAGACAAAACTAGGTGTATGTCATATACCAAGCAAAATCTAGTCACTTATTTGTTTAATAATGTATCTTCATGTTTTTTTCATTGCAATATGGTGATCGGTGAGTTTGTTTTAAATTAGTGTAGTAACTAATTATAAAAAAACTCGATGGTTTGGACCGAACAACCCGCAACCCGACCTGTTGTAACCCGCAATCCGATCAACCCGAACCCGATCAACCCGCAACCCGATCAACCCGATCGACCCGCAACCCGATCAACCCGAACTCGCTTGACCCGCAACCCGATTAACCCGCAACCCGACTGAACCCGACCCGAACCCGCCCGATTGACACCTATAGTTTTCACTAATTTACAACTTTGTTATAGCTAAAATGTGATGTGATAAAAGGAAAATCCTAAGTAATTTGACTAAAATTACATGTAATTTAGGTAAGAAGGGGTCGAGAATGGGGCGGATCAGGGCAGGTCGGGTCGATGAGAGTACCCATGCCCGCCCTGCCCCGCCTACGGGGCGGGTCGGACCCGCCCAAAACAGGCCAAACAGGTCGGGTAAAACGGGTCAAGTCTAAATTGCCATCCCTACTTCTGCCCTGATATCGCGGGGCGTCTCTGGACAACCGTTGTCTTAGTTTTTTTTTTCCAAGAAATGTCAAGAGAAAACCTATACAATCTACCCCGACCCTGCCCAACCCAATACATCAGAGAAGCCAACCCACAAAATCAAAGGCGCAAAACTCTAAAGGGGAGAGTAACAGTGCTTTCTGCGCCACTCTATGGGCAGCACTGTTAGCAGTCCGAGGAACTGCCCTAAACTCTAAAGAAATAAAGACGGAAGAAAGGAGAAGGGAGCAATCCCGAAGCACCGGACCTCCAATGGAGTCAGAGAGAGCACCTTGACGAAACTGCCGAATCACCACCTCTGAATCTCCTTCTATGATGACCCGAGGCAGCACTTTGGAGACTACAAGGGCGATGGCGTCCCTAGCTGCTAGGAGCTCCGCAAGATAGGGATCAGCAATACCGGGAAGGAGAGACCCTAAAGCCAGAGCCACATGCCCATCTGAACTGCGCACCACAAGACCAGACGAGCACCCAGAAGGACGAACAACAGCATCAAAGAGGAACTTCACAAAGCCAACAGGAGGAGGGGACCAAGACGAGAGGCGAGAACGGGAAGGTTGGGGCGGAGCAGGGACCAAAGGAAGGGAGGAAGACAGATCGCGAACTTGGAAAAAAACACTGACGAGCGAGAGACCGGGCATGAGGCTGGACATGCTCAAAGACCACCTTATTTCTAGACTTCCAGATCCTCCATAATACACAAACGTATAGGAGAATGTGGGTTTGGGGGTGCTCAGAAAGCATAACATGTCGCCACCAGAGACTGAAATTCACAGTCGGGGCCGAGGAGATGAAATCATTTAGACCCATGAGCGACCACAATCTTGTGGCCAAGGGGCATTTGAAGAACAGATGTTCAAGACTTTCCGGTCTTCTCCAGCAAACCGGGCAGCGAACTAGACAGTTTACTCCTCTGGTACTTTGAAAACCATAAATTAATTAATTCTAAAAGTCAAAAATTAATTATGACCGTCAGAAATTAATTCTCTCTATCCCATAATTTGATATATAAACCAACCATAAAGGTTGTAAAGCGCCATAAAAGGACCGCTTTAGTGACTCAATAATCACTTGTAACGGATCATTAAGGACCCAATAACACCAAATAAAATAACTGATGTATTAAAACCCAAATAAATGAACCAATGAGGCCATTAATTGGTTAAGAGCCCAACCGTTGTCTTAGTTGATTCAAAGCTAAATAGGAAATTAACAAATATTAGAAAAAATGGTTTCACCCCGATTAAATGTTGAAGGTTTAGTTAGGAATACTCATGCTTCAAAGAGTGATTGTGAATTAATCATTGGAATTTTTATCACCAATTCATTCCAAATCCGCGGGGAAAATACCTCAAACTGATTATGAACTAAATAAGAAAAAAACCCTAACCATCATAATAACTGGCACACATCAACCAATGACGAATTTACCTACAAGCATGGTTTCCAAAGCTTTTGATGCCTGAACTCCATCAATTGAATTCCACAGAGCCACCAATTGACAAAGTGCAAGCATCAAAAAAATAAGGGCTAATACCATCCTTTAGTTAAAGTGTCATTTATATTACATAATTTTTGATATGACAATTGTATAGCAGCCGTTAAGTTTTCTGTTAGAAGTTAACAGAAAATACAGTCATCAATGACATGGAAGCTGATGTGGAAATTTTTTTTATTTTTTTTTTTTGTAAAAAAAAAAAGAATATAACAAATGAATAAACGAAAAATAACTTCATCTTCCCTATCTCTCTCGATCTCATCTATCTTCCCTATCTCTCTCGATTGAAAATAAACTTCAATCCCACTGTCCCCTTCTCCATGACCGGCCTTTCATCCTTCCCCTACAGTTTACACCGACCCTCATGTCTTCTTTTTCTTTGATTGCTTGAGATCGGCGACTGCGGTTGTGGTTGTCGTCCCTCCTAAACACGATTCGACCTTCGGAATCGCATCAGGCCCGCGACGCTTCGAGAATTAGTGGGAAAAGTGAGGGAATCGATTGATGAGATCGTGGAATGAAGATGAAGGAGGGGCGGATTTTGTGGGGATTTCGAGCTTGTGTAGGCTCGTAAATCTCCGATTCCACCACCCAGACAGATCTGAAAATGGTCAGCGTCCCTTCCCCTTCCCACCTCGCAAATCTCCATCGTCCCTTCCCCGCTGCAAATCCCTATCTTTTATCTCAACTACATCTTGCTTCGGATCTTGCCGGCGGAGACTACGGCGGCGGTTTGATTGCGATTGGGGTGGTGAGATGAAGAAGGAGATATAAGTGGAGGAGAAGAGGGAAGTAAACGAACTCCCTCGCGTCACCTAGATCCCAACTTTCCTGTGCAAGTGGAAGATCAGGAACAGCCACTAATCGAGAAGGAAGAAGATGAGCTCCCTGCCTCCGTCGTCAGAGCGGTGTGAACGTAGGAGAAGTTACCCGGTACCCCTGCCGCCAAAGTCGCTTTGTCTCCGTCGACCCGCGTTAAGCAGACGCCGAGAAAGAAGGTGAAGCGCGCTGCCGCGAATCAAGGAGTTGGGGATTGAGGAAGAAGCAGCTGGGCATGATGTCGGCGGTGACAAGAGTATTTAGAAAAAAAATATTTAATAATATTAATTAATTTATTTTTGAAATAAAATTAATATGTTTAAAATAGTAATTTCTTACGTGGCACATATGCGGGCGACACCTAAGCGCCACATAAGCAATAGTCAAAAATAAGTTGACCACCGTCAGGTCAACTGTCAATTCTAACGGTCAACAAAAATTTGCGTAACACAAATGACACAAACCCCTAATACGTTGGAATATTTTTGTGTTTATTGAAAGTACGTAATATAAATGACACTTTCGCTAAAGGATGGTATTTTCAGTGGTATTAGCCCTCACAACTGACAGTGAAGTTTAAACACGCCAGACCTAAATCTGCACACCAGCTGTTAGATGAAATAACTCAGCAGAATACGGACAATAGATGACTTAATTAGTACCATTGATTTTTTCTTTGCAGGGTTGGTGATCAACGGCGATTTCGAGTCTCCCCCGTCCAGCGGCTTCCCGACGGGGGAATCCGCCATCTTGGAAGGCCCCGCCGAGATCCCCAGCTGGAAATCAGACGGCACCGTGGAGCTGGTCTCGTCGGGACAAAAGCAAGGCGGGATGATTCTGATCGTACCTCAGGGAACTCACGCCGTCCGGCTGGGCAACGACGCCGAGATCGGGCAGGAGCTGACGGTGGAGAAGGGTTCCGTCTACTCCGTCACCTTCAGCGCCGCTCGCACGTGCGCACAGCTGGAATCGCTTAACGTCTCCGTCCCGCCCGCCTCCCAGACCATCGACCTCCAGACGCTCTACAACGTCCAAGGGTGGGACCCTTACGCTTGGGCTTTCGAGGCCCAGGACGACAAGGTGTCGCTGGTTTTCAGGAATCCCGGCATGGAAGACGACCCCACCTGTGGGCCCATCATCGACGACATCGCCATCAAAAAGCTCTTCGCCCCCGATCGCTCCAAAGGTAGCCAGCCGGCCCACTAGCATTAATCTAATTCCGCTTTTGCTTTAGTTGGGCTTTTTATCCAGTTCTTTAAATTCCCGCCTTTTTTTGACCGGCAGAAAACGCGGTGGTGAATGGTGACATGGAGGAAGGACCGTGGATGTTCAGGAACATCTCGCTGGGGGTACTGCTTCCGACCAACCTTGACGAGCAGACATCGTCTCTACCCGGTTGGATCGTGGAATCCAACCGAGCGGTTCGTTACATCGACTCGTACCATTACTCGGTCCCCGAGGGGAAGCGGGCCATCGAGCTCCTGTCCGGGAAAGAAGGCATCATTTCGCAGATGGTGGAGACGAAGCCCAACGAGCCATACAAGCTGTCGTTTGCATTGGGCCAGGCCGGGGACAGGTGCAAGGAGCCCTTGGCGGTCATGGCTTTCGCCGGAGACCAGGCGCAGAACGTCCACTACACTCCCAATGCCAACTCCACGTTTCAGACTGCTGATCTGAACTTCACGGCCAAGGCTGAGAGGACCCGGATTGCGTTCTACAGCATCTATTACAACACCAGGACTGATGACATGAGCTCGCTGTGCGGGCCTGTGATTGATGACGTCCGGGTTTGGTTTTCTGGGGCTGGGCGTTTTGGGCTTGGTGGACCAGTGTGGCTGGCGCTTGGGCTTTGGGCTTTTATCTTGGTTTTGGTTTAGCTGTTGAAGTGGGGTGTTACTATTTAGGGAAGTGGGTTTTGTGTTTCTCTCGCTGGCTTGGAGGGGTATATCAAAATGTAATGTTGGCTTTTGCTGTGCTTGCAATCTGGCGATCTGGCAATTAGAATGTTTTGCTAGTAGCTAAGTTATATTGGTTACATCAGAAGTGATCAAGTGAATCAGTTCTGCTTCCTAAGATTAGATATTCCACTTTGTCGCCAGCTTACTCAATGTCTGATCGCATCATATATATTCCCAGAAGATGCTGTAACACTCTGTCTGGGATCTTTCCTTTGTGGATTGGAATATAAGATTGTTAGTAATGGGCTTTAATTGCACGTGTTGTAAGAATTCATGGCGGTGGTGAGGCTTGGCAAATCAAGTACGAGTTGGGATGTTTAGGGAGTTGATGGTATAGATATCATTGACAATTTTAAAGAGCTCATCCACGGGGTTTTGAAAAGTTATTACCTCTCATATCTATAGAGAGAATAACCTATAGAGAATAACAAGTGTGATGATTATTTTACTAGTCGACGAGATCATACTTTATCTGTTGGTTTACATCTTATCACTAGTCGAGATCATACTTTATCTTTTGGTTTACATCTTATCTCGAGTATAAATTTGTAATTGTAACAATTTTTTATGTACGATATACAGAGAGTTTTTAAATTCCGGTTGATTTTGAATAAAAGTTATGATGCTACTACAAAGGAAAAAAAAATCGGGTTAATTGCATGGTTGGTCGCTGAGATTACAAAAAAACGATCAAATTTCAAGATGGGTTCCGGCTACCGAAGGAGGTGAAGGAGAAGGGAGCGGAGCGGTGGAAGAACTCCCTAATTGGACAGTTCGTTGGGAATAGGCCAAAGGTACCGGAGCTGCAATCCTGGGCAAATGCTCTCTGGGGGCGGGATGACATGGTCAGAGTTGGATCAAAGCTCCTGGTATTTCAGTTTCCTTCAGCCGCTTCGTGCAATTGGGTTTTCCAGTCAGGGCCTTGGCATTTTAGAGGTAATCCCATCTTCTTTCGCAAATGGAAGTCAGGTATCCAACCAGTAGTTCCTAAGATTGAGATGTTGCCGATCTGGGTGAGAATCTGGGGTCTTCCTCTGGAATACCTTGCTCTAGAAGGGTTGGAATGAGTTGCGAGTATGATAGGGCGACCATTTTGGATGGATCAGAAGACGAGGGTTGGAGGTCAGTTAGGGTTTGCTCGAGCGTGTGTTGAGCTCCCTGCTGATTATTCCTTTCCCTCCCCTATTCGGGTTTACCCAGATGAAGATCCTCCGTTCGAAATCTGAATCGAGTACAGTAATATGCCGAAGGTGTGCTCTAAGTGTTGTGTGTTTGGGCACAACTGTGAGGAGGGTCCGCAACGGGTTTGGGTCCCTAAGGTGTCAAAGAATACTGAGATGGAACTTGGGGAGGAGTCGGTTGCTTCGGTGAATGTTGGGGAGAATGAGTCTGATCCTGTTGAGGACATTCTTAATCAAGTCCAAGAGTCTGTGATTCAATGTGTGATGGAATGCTTGGCTGATGAGGCTTTAGAGCATACTTCGTCTGTAGGGGTTGTCTGGCTGATAAAGGGCAGGCATCGCCTGTGGGGGATCTTGTGCAGGTGGCAGAGGAGGTGGCCTCCCCTTCATCAAATGGGGGGGGCTCGAGTCAGTTTTGCTGAGGTGGTGAAGGGGTCATCAACAGTTGCTGGGAGCCCTAACACGCCTATGCAACAGTCTGTTGGTAGCAAGTCATCCTCTGATGAGGGGAGCTTGATGCCTCAGATGACTTCTCGGGTTATTCAGACTGGTTCAAGATTTGCCATACTTGATAAGGAGAATAGAGTCCCGCCAAGTGTTGCTGACAAGGGTAAGAAGATTTGGATAGATCCTCCAGATGTTAGGGATAACAGGAAGAAAGGGGGGAAAGGTGGAGGGAGAGGAAGGGGTTGTAGATGAAGATCCTCTCATGGAACACTAGAGGGTTTGTTGCGGATAAGAAGTATACAGCTATACTAAATAAAATAAATAAATAAAGTTTAGATATTGTTGCTATTTTGGAGCCTCGGGTAAGCAGAGTGGAAGCAAAGAAACTGAAGCAAAAGAGATTTGCAGGTTGGGGGCAGGAAATTTTATTCAATGATGAAGGGTTGGGGAAAATCTAGTTAGTTTGGCGCTCAGAGGTTCAGTTGACCATCATAGACAGCTCTGATCAGTTTGCTCATGCTTTAATTGGAGGGCAGGCACCTTTCTTTGTCACATTTGTATATGCTTCTAATAGTAAGAGTCAGAGGGAAGGGCTGTATGCTGCTGTTAATAGACTCAAAGTGGTAAATTCCCCTGGATGCTGGTTGGGGAGTTCAATGCTATTCGAGATCCAAGTGAAGGCTCAAACAATCCTCAGTATTCTTCTAGTATGAAATCTCTCAATGACTGGTTGAGGGAAATTGAGGTGGAGGAGCACAAATCTACTGGGCCATGGTTTACATGGCTCAATAAGAGGCAAAATGATCTCATTGCTAGGAGAATAGACAGGGCTTTTGTTAATGTGGATTGGTTAGAAGTGATGAAGCAAAGTGTAGTGCATGTGCAGTCGCCTGGGGTTTCAGATCACTGTCCGGTTTTTATCCAAACTGAGTTCCCTCTTAAATCATTGCCTAAGCCATTTAAATTTTTCAATTTCTGGCTAGAGCATCCAAAGTTTGAGGAGTTGCTTGACCAGGCTTGGTCTGAAGGGGTGGAAGGTCCTCCTCTGATTAGGGTCTACAAGAAACTAAGGTTACTTAAAGGTCTGCGCAAGAAGCTCAACAGGGAAGAGTTTTCTGACATAAGGGGGAGAGTAAGAGAAAAGGAGAAGGAACTTGAATCTATTCAACTAGCTGCCCTCTCAAGTCCTTCACCAATGAGTTTTGAGGTTGAAGTAAGGGTTTCTAAAGAGCTGTTCGATCTGATGAAAGCTGAGGAAAGTTTTTTGAGGCAGAAATCTAGAGAGTTGTGGCTAAGAGTAGGTGATACAAATTCTGGTTACTTCCATCGCTCCATGAGAACTAGACTTAAACGGAATACTATAACTTCTCTTAAGGATGCTCAGGGGAACTCAGTCACTTCAGTTGAGGTATGTGTCAAGTGGCTATTGATTTCTATATGCTTCTGTTGGGGAGGGAGAATCCACATGTTGAGAGTGAATCAGTGGATTTCTTTAAGGGTCTGTTTAAACTTAACTCTGAACAGGTTTCTTCTCTCTGTTCTCATATTACTGCTAGTGAGGTAAAGGAAGTCATGTTTAGCTTTAATGAAGATAAGAGTCCAGGTCCGGATGGATATAATGCTAGATTCTTCCAAGCATCTTAGGGAGTTATTGGGGCTGAAATTACAAGTGCCATTCAGAGCTGTTTTGTGACTTAGAGGATTCCAAGAGAGGTAAATGCTACTATCCTTGCTCTGATTCCTAAGATCCAAAACCCTGATGAGATGAAGATGTTTAGGCCTATTTCTTGCTGCAATATAGTGTATAAATGCATATAAAAAATTGTGGCGAATAGGTTTAGTTCCCTCCTGCCCTTAGTAATTAGCAAAAACCAGACTGCATTTGTTAAAGGGATGGTCATTGGGGAGAACATTCTCCTGGCTCATGAGCTTGTGCACAAGTACTCTAGAAAGAACTTTTCCACTAGGCCAGCATTGAAAATTGACCTTATGAAAGCATTTGACTCCGTTAATTGGCAGTTTCTCTTTGCTGTGCTTGAAGCCATGGGTGTCCCTAGTCAGTTTATTAAATGGATTAGGATGTGTGTCACTAGCCCTATGTTGAGCATTGCTTTGAATGGGGGTTTAGTGGGGTACTTCCCTGCAAAACAGGGGTTGAGGCAGGGTGACCCTCTCTCCCCATATTTGTTTGTTGTTCCATGGAGGTCTTCTCCTGTCTATTGGATCTTGAAACTAAGAAGGGGAGATTCCCTTATCACCCAATGTGTAAGAAAATTGGATTGACTCATCTTTGTTTCGCTAATGACCTTTTGGTCTTCTCTGATGGGTCAAATTATGGTATTCAAAGTGTGCAGAGGGTATTGAATGTATTTCACATGCTCTCTGGGCTCCAGTCAAATCCTAGTAAATGTGAAATATTTTTTTGGAGGGTTAGAGAAGGAAGAGATGGTTGCTAGAGCTAGCAGATATGGTTATCAGCTTGGTGCATTCCCAGTGCGCTATCTAGGAGTCCCTCTAGTGGCTGGGAAGGTAACAGTCAATGCCTGCAGGCCTCTCATAGATAGAATTACAAGTAGGGTGCAGGGATGGAAGGCCAGGTCTCTAAATTATGCTGGCAGGGTGGAATTGGTTGGCTCTGTTCTTTACAGTATGTCACAGTACTGGATGAGTGTTTTCATGCTCCCCAAAACTGTTATCCGAGAAGTTGAGAGAATCTGCAACAACTTCCTCTGGTATGTTGGACCTGGACTTAAACTCAAAGTGAAAATGGCTTGGAAGTACTTATCTATTCCTAAGAAAGAAGGTGGACTGGGGCTGAGAGATCTCACTACCTGGAACATTGCTTGTGTCTTCAGGCAGATTTGGGCGATAATGATGCAACATGGCTCACTGTGGGTATCCTGGATCCAGGACCAGGAGTATAAGCTGAAAGGTAGGGATTTTTGGGATGTGAATGTTAATGGGTCCTGGAACTGGAAGAATTTGCTGAGACTTCGAAATAAGGTCCCTAATCTATTCAGAGTTCACAATGGCTTGCTCCTCTGGAATGATACTGCAATGCCAAGGTATTCTATCAAGATTATCTGGCAAGTTGTCAGACCAAAGCAAAATGTAGTAAAATGGTACAAGCTTCTCTGGAAGGGGATTACTATCCCTAGAAACAGGTTCCTTGTTTGGCTTATTATACTTAACAAGATACACACAAAAGACAAGATGAAAAAATGGGGGTTTGCAGGTTTTGATAAGTGTTTTCTTTGTGACCAACCAGATGAGACAAGGGGCCATTTGTTCTCTGTTTGCCCTTACTATTCTTCCATTCATCAGTTGCTGCTGGGTAACTTCTGTTCTTTCTTGCCGCGAACTTGGGAGGAAAACCTTGAATGGGCTGTCATGAAGTTTGGAGCCACTTCTTTATGTGCATTGACATGTAGACTGATTTGGCAATCTATGGTGAGTCATACTTGGAGGGAGCGCTATTATAGAGCGTTTGGTAGCAACAAAAGGACCACTGAAACTCTGGTTTCTATGGTTAAGAGTGAGGTTCGAGTTTTGGTGCGGGATTCAAAGGAGATTGAACGATTCTGGCCCCCTGTTTCTTAGGCTGCTTGATTTACCCGGGTTTGTTTTGTTTTGTTGGTTTTGTTGGTAGGTTTACACTG